ATCTCATCGCGTCTAGTGATTTTAAAATATCTCATTTCTCTCAACGAGAGTGGAAACATTTCACTTCCCTGAGTATAGAGTTAGTGGTGCATATATCCACATGGCACAAATCATCTTTCGTAGAAATCTATATATAGACATGAACATTCTCAAGAAAAGCATTGCCAGATATATATAATACATACAAATGAATTTGTACCAAAGTGTTGATACAATATATTGTGATATACACTATATGATAACAACAATACTTATATCGTTATTACCACAACATAAATGGACACCACTCAGGTGACAAAGGGACTTCATATGCTCCAAACATGTCGGTTGAGGAGTATTCAACCTTCCCGTCACCGCTGGTGATGTCAGGTTAAATGGTGAAGTAAGATTCAAACCATTGCCCTTGAGTTTCATTGTGTCACAGGAATTGCTCTTGAGTTTCATTGTGTCACAGGAATTGCTGGTACAAAATAACCAGATGGAGAGATCTGAATCAATATAATGCCTTATAATGCATAAGACAATTTTTTCTGTTAGCAGTGTGATTCCAACTAGAGATGAATCCTACGGTGTTGGATTGCACACATTATTCCACGAGACACAAGAGCGAGCATGATGTCCGGTAGGGTAGTGGTAGCCATTGAGGCCATTAATTTACGATTGGTAAATTAAGACCATCATGGTAATGTTGCAATGAATTTTGCAAAATTAATGGATATTTCAAGAAGTTAGCTTGAAACCATTAGTGTGAACTTCAAATTGTTAAGCATGACACCTTGTAGATACTCTCCAAAACAAATTTTGCGGTCCATCTCTCATCACTAGAGAGTATAATCTGATGAAATCAGTAGATACTCATATTTCTAATACCTTATGGCATAACTTAATAAAATGTACGGGTGAACACATCGTTTAGCAATCATAATGTCAAACATGACAAAATGTGGGCTTAAACAATAGTGTGATAATATGCAAAGCAGTAGATCTACACACCACCATGTGATCACGATACATCAATTGGAAGAAATCACTTTGGATTTTGCCTTCTTATTTACAAGAAATTAAAAATCTGAATTGCAAATAGACATATTAATCTCAACACATGTAGCAAACATGGAGATACATAAATTCCGAAATACATCATACTCAACAGAAATACACTACTATTGTAATGAATAGTAATGATGTTGCAAACTTGATGCTCAAGTAAAAAAAACTTGAATTGTATGTACCTCAAATTAAATGAGATGATCTTGTATCAAATTGCAAGATAATTCAGCGGAGTGAATTAATATTTTGCGAGAGAAAATTAACCTCAATTGCAATGAGATTGCTTTGCGAGAGGAAAAAAAATCTCAATCACAAATCAATATTGTTATGCAAGAAAATTTAATCTCAATCGAAAAGCAATGTTGTTATACTAATAAGACATGTTAGGGATTGCTAATAAGCAAACTCATTGAACATGCCACATATAATAACCACATATTTTCTGAAATGTTAAAACTCAACAAACAAATGGCTGAAAATGCACAGTCCAAGGAGTCCGATGGCTCGATTGTAAAATACAGTAAAGCGTAGAGCTAAACTGCAAAGATTTGTAAGCCTGAGGATCGAATCCGAATTTACTTGGACCCACTTAACATTAAGATAAAGTCCGAGGTAAACTGAGAAATGGATGAAAGGATAAGATGCCCTTTCTTTCTTCAGGCTCTTCATGCATGTCCGCCAGGCTGCGGCCTGAACGTGTGCCAACGCCGCCGCGGGCAGGGCGCCGCTGGAGCATGCTGATAACGTGTTGTAATAAAGTAAAAAAAACAAGAGACAGGGTGTCGTTTCATTAGAATATCAAGGTATTTATACAGATGGCAACCAACGTGATTGTTCACGAGAGGCACCTGTTTGGAAAGGAGAAACCAACGCGACGGTTGCCTAGAAGGCAACTGCCTGTTGTTAGACAAGGGAAGATTCCCCATAATTAACACATGTAAATTACTCTATCCGTCTCATAATATAAAAACATTTTATGAGGGAGTAACTCTTAACACAAAACGCGCGTCACGCGCACCACCGCAGACCACACCAGATCTATGAGCCACACCCACACCATGAAGCTGCTCCTCCGTGTCCCTGAGCCGCGCCAACTATGCCGCGATGCCAGATCCAGGCCGGCACACGCACCTACCACGCCCCTCGCAGCCAAACCGATGCCTTCTGTTCGCGCCTGTGCCTCGTACCTCCCGGCATCCGCCGGAATATTTTCTTACAATGCCCCTACAGCTGTGAAGAGTCTTCTGTTCGTTGCACCGTTGCACCGTCCCAGTCTAAGACCATCTCCAGCCAAGCCCCCAACACGGTCTCTCCAGGAGATTTATTCGCGCCGACGCCCAGAAATCGGCTCAGTCACATCTTCAGGAGCCCATTTTTCGCTGGTTTGGACCGAAATTTGCGTTCACGGACACAGGCCGAACCCGTCACGTCGGTGAACGCGATTTTGGAGGGAACGGGGACGGGCCCGCCTAGTCAACGAAACGCTGCTTCGTCGCCCTCATCGCTTCGGTTCCCGCAAGAATCAATGCCTCACGGGCAGTCAGCCTCCATTGATGCCTCACGGGCGGCGCCGCCGACGCGCGTCCCGCCCGCTCCTACCACGCGACACCTGGCATGCAGCCTCTCGCCGCCCTGTTGCGGCTATAAAAGGTGACCTCCCTGCCGGTGAATGCC